AAGAAATTGAGGAATGTGCCGAAACATTGCGAAGTATGTTTGCATTGAGAAACCTTAAGAAAACATTAAACATGATGTTTGATAGGTTGGTGATTGGGAATTTATTGCTGATAAATTGCCTTTTCGTGCATGTGATGACACTTGTGACGTATCACGCTTTTTTTAACTGCGCGAATTACCCTGGCGGTTACGTAACGACTGTGTAAAAATGCATTCTAAATGTTTTTATCGTCATTTGAACGTAGTTTGCTATATCTTACTCAATTTTTAAATCTCAAACGATTTATCTAGAAAAAAATTGTAGATCTGGTGACGCAGTTACAAGAGCTCGCTCCCAGCTATGACTATGATGAAAACACGCCAGGAAACGGTTTCAGGTAATTTATGACATACATTCTTTTAGTCTTCCTGTAACAACTGACTTCTAAATCAGGCAAAGTCCTCAAGGGTTATATTGCAAACATCTGCAACACCCAATTTTACAACGCCATCGAGAGCGCGAAAGTCCTTGAAAGCAAATTGTGCTTTGTCCCCGTGAAGGTCACACGGCGATTTGGTCAGATGCTAGCTTAAATTAAGTTTCCTATGTTAATACGTGAGGGGAGAGGTGTGAGGGAAGGAAGAGTGGATTGAGGTTAAGGAGTACAGGCGTAGCTAGGCGTTACTATGACTAAACTTTGAATTGTTTCTCTTTTGGATGGTATGGAAAAATCACTTTAGGACCTTTTGGGAACATTACTATAGGAAAGCCTCCTACAGGTTGGCTCAGCTACTCAAAATTAAGTAGCTTTGAATAAGTTGTTGATGAATTGCGAAATTTGATGGAAGCAAACTGACTGAGAGAAGCTTAAAGGAAGGTAAAGAATCAATTATGTAATATATAGAACTTCAGAAAATATAGACTTCAGTCAACTACTTTATCATATGTTTTTCTAATTATTTGATCCAGTATTTAATTTATGGTAGAACAATGCAAAATAAAGCCAAAATATACGTTGGTTAGGTTCTGATGAACCTAAATTACTCCTTTATTATGCAAAGAGAATCTTTCTGATATAGGACC